ACAAGAGCCACCTGCCCCAGGGAAGCTGAACTATTCAAAATCGTTCGCCTAATTTATACATGAAAAAGATAACCAAGTCCTGGAGATGCTCACACAAGATGGTGACAAAGGCTTGTTGCCCATTATAGTATGCAGCTTGATTCAGGTGCTTCAGTCTATCCCAGCTGCTTTAAGGCAAGACGCAGCTTCAGTCAGAAGCCTCAGCTGATCTAACATTCTGGAAGGGATGTCCACTTACAAACCCCACATGCTGTCCAAAGCCTTCCTAACTCTGAATTGACCCACTAAACTCAAAGTCCTTCTGCTTTCACCACCAATCTTCATCTTAAATGTTGCAACATTCTTAGACCTGACACATTAGGGCCCCCCTGCCTAATGAAGGTGAGCCTCACTACTGTGAGGTACTAACGTCCACATTTCAGGACACTGTGTCCTGATCTAAGGGACACCCCTTTGACTAATTCTGATCTAATCTTGTTTTTTGATGGGTCATACTGTAAAAATGAAAATGGAAGTTCCAGGCTGATTATGCTGTTACCACCCAATATGAACTACCCAGAAAGGGAGATGTGCCAAAAGCTAAATCAGCCCAACAAGCAGAGCACCAGACCCTCACCAGCGCAGGTCAGTTTTCAAAAGGGCACATTGTTAATATTTACACTGCTGAAGGATATGCCATTGGGGTAATCCATGAGTTTGGAATGTTATGGAAATAAAGGGGTTTTCTCATGTCCACTGGGACCCAAAGAAAAAATGGATGCATACACGACCTTACTCTATCTTCTGAAGTTCCTGTCCTCAAGTAGAGACACATACTAAAAGGATTAAACCTGAACATCAGGGACATGCCCCAGCTGACTTTCATGCAGAGGCAACAGCAAGAGAATCTGTAAAGGATGTGGCACATGTGGATAAAGTCCATTCTGCTTCTACAAAAAAAATCCCTTTGTTGCCAGACCTTTGCCATCCTGATGTCCTTGTGACATGGCAACAGTTTGCTCCTAAATCAGAAAAATTAGGATGTACAAATAACGCTTGTAAATTCAATGAACAGTCAAGGATACGGGAAGCTCATGATGGCTGCTTGGTTCTTTCCGGCTCCTTGGCAAATCCCATTTTTTGATTTTTACATTCCTTCACCCACCATGGTAGGTTTAACATAACTCAAATTATAAACAAACATTGGTGGAGAAACTTCTACAAGACTGCCAAAAACAAACAAACAACCAAACAAACCACAGTTTACCATCAGTGTCTAACCTGTCAGGACCACAGTTCTAGAAAACCTATTTTTGTTCCCAGCCTCCTATGGACCCTTTGAACACCTACAGCTGGACTTCATTCAACTGCCACCATTCTGGGGTTATCAATATGTTCTTCTTATTGTTTGTATATTTTCCAGCTGGGCTGAAGCTTTCCCCTGCTGCAAGGCTTACTCCCTCAAGTGACAAAGAAACTGGTAGAAAACATGTTTCCCATTTGGGGTATACTTTCCATAATTTCTAGTGATCAAGGCATCCACTTCATTGGGAGAATCATACAAGCTTTAATAAAGACCTTACAAACATCTCGGACATATCACTTTTCCTATTGCCTCAATTCATTGGGCAAGGTTGAAAGAACTAATGCAATTTTCCAACTTAAAATCTCTGAGCTTACTGAAACTGCTGGACTCCCTTGGTCTAAGGTTCTGCCACTGGCTCTGCTGATGATTCACAACGTCCCCCTTGGGAAACATAAACTCACTCTACATGAGATAGTCACCTGCAGGCCAACTTCTATTGGCATGCAACTTTCTGCTTGTCACCTCATGCCAGTATGACTAGCTACTGTGAGTCTTTTTTTTTTTTTTTTTTTTTTTTTAATGTTTATTTATTTTTGAGAGAGACACAGAATGTGAAGGGGGGGCGGGGCAGAGAGAGAGAGGGAGACAGGGTCCAGGCTCTGAGCTGTAAGCACAGAGCCCGACGCGGGGCTTGAACTCACGACCTGTGAGATTGTGACCCAAGCTGAAATCGGTTGCTCAACCAAGCCACCCAGGCGCCCCTACTGTGAGTCTTTAATGTCTAACGCTAAGGCCTACCATCAACAGGTTAAAGAAGCTTTCTCTGACCCCAGTTCCAAGGATCCTGTTGGTCACTCTGGAGCCTGGAGACTGGGTATTTTGGAAACACCACTGAGAAGGGAAAAAAAAAAAAGCAGCTCTAGAGCCCCATTGGAAAGGACTTTACCAAGTATTCCTGACCACTGACACTGTTGAAAAACTAGAGGGCATTAAGCCTTGCATACATATCATACAGCTAAAGACAAGACAGCCTCACTTGACCTCTGCTCCTGTAAAGATGCTGGAGACATGTAAATCAAATTGACAAGACAAGTAGCTGACATCGAAGTGAACTGCTTCTTCCCAAGACACCAGATCAAGACTTCATACCTTAACATGAAATTTTTTCTCCTCTTTCTTTCCTTTGGCATCAGCCTGGAAAGACAAGACCTTCATCTGTATCTCCCAGGCCATTGCTAAGAGGGAAAGGGGAGTAATCTTTCAGACTGCTGGATCTCTCATCAAAGATTCCAATCTGTCCAGGATGTTAGAGAGCCCTGGTCCTCCCTGTGACTTATTTCTCTTCTTTTCCTAATGTCACTGAAAACTACAATTAACTCCGCACCCCCTGAAGTCTCCCACTGATTTCAACTTTTATAGATAGAACAAACTGTGCTTTTTTTCTTTCTTCAATTGTAAGTGTAGTACCCAATTAGATACAATCACTTCTATAAATCTTGTTACTTGAATATCCTCATTCTCCTGATCATCTAACTCACATCTGCTCCCATTCTCTAAGACCTCTCACCAGCAACACCCATCTTTGCAGGGTATTATAAGGACTCATTCTTTCAGTTTAGAAATGTTCTTCCCATTGTGCTGAAAATCTAAGTGACCCCAGGCTGGGGTGACAGGTGAGAGGGCAAATGCAATAATCCCATCCTAATAGGAATGGTTTGTGTGTCTTTGTCTGTGGCAATTATCATTCTCCTTGGGCCTGTGAATGCCTCGTTGGCACAAGCTGGGCAAGGCCTCTTAAGTTATCTAACTGTACCCCTAACTTTTCACAAGCAAACTAAGACATCTCATTGGTCGACTCCCCTGAATTTATACCGTTGAGTTAAAAAAGACCTACCAGGAGGCATTCAGGATTCGGGATTTGCTTCCTTTGGCAGGGTCATGATTCCCGGGTTAGGAGTTAATGAAAAGGAGGATGTGATCAGAAACTTCTCCCAACTCTTGAAGATAATGAAGAATCTGTTGCTAATGGGATAGTTGTCCTACAAAGATCTTTAGCCTCTCTGGCAAAAGTTGTCCTCGATATTAGAATAACTCTTGATTATCTTTTACCTGAACAAGGAGGTGTCTGTGCTGAGGCCAACACCACCTGCTATACCGGGGTTAGTATCTCTGGGGAAGAACTCAATTACATAAGACCAAAGGAAAAAGGTGAAAAGGTGATTCCTTCCTTGGAGTCTTTCTTTGACTTTGTGGATTTTGATTGGTTTGAGTCTTGGGACAATGGCTTCAGAGTGCACTCCAAACACTGGGAATTATCCTCCTTATAGTAATCATATCTCCCTCTACTAATTACCAAGCAAACGACTGGGCTGTTTAAGGAATGACGAAAGTGACCAACTTAATGAGTGTAAACTGGAAGTTATGACCTGTGAATATCAAGAGGTTAAGCAGGAATATCGTAACCTATAGGTACCACCTAAAAGAACAAAACTGTCAACTTCAGAGTGGTAACTGAGAGTGGCACTAATGCCTTAAATTTTGATCACATCTCTCAGTTACTTGGAGAATCGAGAGAATTGTTAAAAACAAAACCATAGGCCCAAAATGTCACTTAGACCAAGTTGCCAAACGGGGGCTTAATACCTAATCTAACTGCACCATCAACTTCCCTCAGAAATGTAGTCTTAATCAGTCAGCCAGGAATTTTTCAATTAGTTGCCAATGAGTCTACCACATGGGTCACCCTATCCCTCAAAGAAAGATGAAGTAATTGCTCCTGGCATGGAGCAATCCTTTCATTTTGCTAATAACTTTCTTTCCCCACCCTCCTTTCCACAAAAGCCTTCCGTTTTGTACAACTCCTTGGGGCTCCTCTCTGCTCACTGGATGGGAGGGTGCTGGTTCATGAATCATTTAATAAAGCCAGTTGGATCTGCACATTTTCTCAGTTGGACTTTGTTTTTGTAACCATATCATCTAATACCCAATCAATATCCATATTTTTCTGACTGTCTTTAAAAATACCTTTTTTGCATTTTAGTTGATTGTAATCAAGTTCCTAAACAAGGTCTACATGCTGTATTTGCTGGATGAAGTTCTGAAGCCTCTTTTCATCCTAGAGCAGTCCTTCTGAAATATCCCTCCCCCAACTTTTTTCCCATGCCACTGACTTGTTGAAAAAACTGGGTCACTTAATCTATCTTGTTATGACCCACATTTTGGATTGTTTGCTTTTCCATGCTCTCACATCACCTGTTCCTCACTCTGCCATATTTTCTAATAAACTGGAAGTCACAGGGCCAGCACTTACATTCACTATAACTTCCTATCTTGAGTGGACAGGGAGTGCCCTTGAGAGTGCCAGAGCTAGACAGGGGTGAATGGGCATTTTGATTATGCCATTTAAAAGCTGTGACCTTGGGGAAGTTACTACACCTAAGTCTCCATTTTCTCACTTGTAACACAAGAATATAACAATTCATAACTTGAAGAGTTATGCAAAGATAAAAGGAGACAGCCAGCACTATGATACATAAACAGCAAGCAGCTCAGTGAATGTCAGTTCCAGCAATGACCAGCGATACCTTCAGCTTACACATCATAGAAATACTCATTCCAATAAAATGCTTCTAAAGTACCCAGAAAATTGTATCCTTTTTTGACATGGCAGGATAAGTACAATACGTATCTGTATAAGTGATTAAGCAATACCTACAGCAGAAGTAGGGAGCCCGAGGATTTTTGAAGAATAAATTGTCTTCAGGAATTTTGCTCTACTTTCAAGGGAGCAAAGTCTCCTCTGGGCCAAAAACATGCTGCAGGATAAAAGAAATACGTTAACAAGAAGAAAATATATGACACTTACATCACTATCAGACACTTACAGCTAGCTAATAGACCATAAGCTTATACAAAATATAAGTAAAAATTTTTCACAGTTCTCTTTCTACATATAACCTCTCATCACTAGAACCCTCTTTATCTTATAAAAATTTATGGATATGTCATTTTAAACTAGAGGTGTGTAAGCATATTGTGAATTCAAAAAATAAAAAGCTCTAATTTAGTCAAGAGCATAAAATTACAGTAAGTAGAAGTTTCATTTATAGCAGCTATAAAAACCAGGATATTTCAACCTAGGAACAACTCAAATTTCAGAATTGTCTGGATAAAGTCATATAAAAAAGCACAATTTGTGACAGTAAATTAAAGTGGTTAGAATTTAGCAAGTTGTTTGAAAAGCATTATAGCAGGTCCTTGACAAACATAAAGAATATACAAAGGAATTTTAGGTTATTTTCAGACGGCACTTTCCTCAACAATCCCATAGAAAGGTAGCAAGCTATTTCAATAGATTCTAGTTACATAACAGGCATGCATTCTGAATTATGTCTCTACCTATAAGGAAAACTGTTACCAAAGCAATATGAAATTCTATTATTATACTGTCACCTGGAATTAGAAGACAACTCAACTTTCTAAGAACATTCAGGTAAACAGAAACTTCTTACTTAGAAGTAGTTTTAGTCTGAGAATCTTGTATCAGGGGGTGTCATTTCCTCCATCTCCAGTGGTTAATTAAACTTTAGAAGAAGAGACATACTCTACAGATTTAAAGGAATCCACCAAAGCTAGCTAGGACTCTCTTTGAGTTACCAAAATGTTAAGGCTACAGAAAGCTTTAAATGTGAGAAATAATATATTGAAGTTTCTTAAGAAGTTAAATATAAAATCCTGACCTTGTCAGCAATTTCTCAGCTTAAAACAACAGCCTCTTAGGGGTGCCTGGGTGGCTCAGTTGGTTAAACATCCGACTTTGGCTCAGGTCATGATCTCGCACTTTGAGAGTTCAAGCCCTGCATCCGGCTCTGTGCTGACAGCTTGGAGCCTGGAACCTGCTTCAGGTTCTGTGTCTTCCTCTCTCTGCCCCTCCCCTGCTTGCACTCTGTCTCTGTCTCTCTCTCTCTCAAAAATAAGTAAACATTAAAAAAATTAAAAAACAACAACAGCCTCTCAGCCATTCTATCACATCAGCCTATTTTAATTTTCTGCAAAGCACTTTGGTTGTTGTTGTTTGGTTGGTCATTCATTCACTCATTTGATGCTTCATGTGCAGGGCCTGGTGTATTTAGTTTACTACTGTATTCTCTGGCAAATAGTATGCACTTGATAAATAAAATGTTAAATTACTGAATAAATACATCAAATCACATTACAAATTAATGATATCAGTGGCTATTTATAAATCTTTTTATGAAATACTGATTCCTTTTGTAAAGTAAATAATTACCCCTTATGTTTTAAGTCTTTCAAGTTGAAGAACAGATTTTCTTAAATTAAGGAATGCTTATTCTTGCATCATTAACTGTTCTATTCAGGAATAAATTATTAACTAGTTTAGGCAACATGGATAGTTTTTAAGAAAAGGTATTACCAAACAAAGGGAACAATATCAAAAAATCTTTATTGAGTATCATGGAGCTATTTGAGTTAGGATAATTTAGTTGGTCCCCCCTCTCCCCCCCAGCAAATCAATGTTCATTTATTTCAGTTCAGCCTAATTCTTTAGGTATTTAGACTAAGTATAAGCAAAATATTTTCTTCTAAGTGGACAAATGAGAGAGACCTGTTCCACCTTCTGGAGAAAAACTGGGTGGGGGTGCGGGGACAGTACTAGGAATCAGGATACCTGGATTCAAGTCCTTATTCTGATATTTTAAAAAGTTTTCTATCCTTGGAGAAGTTGCTGACTCTTGCTGAACATCAGTTCCCTCATTTTTCAAAACAGGTGAATACATCAGTCCTCGGTTTGAAGGTAAATCCAGAAGGTGCTGGTAAGTCACTGACTGATCACGTGTGGAGCTTAGACTCCAGCTCTTGGGAAATCTCCTCTGGCCACCAGGCCTCAGTGCCCATTCTCCTTAGGAAGTTGACACTCAATCTACCTGTTTTCATCTGGAAATCCCAAAGCCTAAATCTCACCTCCTCTCTATCTACCTTCAACAGCATATTACCTCCATAATACAATGTACTTGCGGGCAACTGACCCAGTTCTCCATTTCTCTTCCACATTCCAAACCTTCCATTGTGTCTTTTGGAACAGGTGGACCATAATCAGCAAATTCCAATATATCTTTATGTTCTCAGAGCATTCTCCTTGTTTTAACACAAATCTTAACCGTTCCCTGAACATACCACTTCTATGTTCCTCAGTGTTGGCTTCTGTTCATATATGCCCCACCTAACTCTTTCTTGCCATCCATTTTACCACTGCCAGACTATTACTTCCCTCATCTGCCTCCCTCACTGACATTATCTTCTGTCCTGCTGGTAACTCCCTGTCCTTATTAAGGACTTTGTCAGTACGCACACAGTATTCTCAACTCAATACTGTGACCATCCCAGGTAATTTCAATGGCTTCAGAGATGATCCACCCAACAGGTGACATCCCCATGTCCACTGCTCTTCTGCTCCATTCCACCTTAGTCTCTCTCCTGCTACCATACACTACACCTTGCCATTACCTCAGTCGGGTCTAATTGCAAAATAACTGATTGAAACATTCTGCTCTTTGACCATAAACTATCTTTCCTTTCAATTAATTATTCTATTCTGCAGTATTATCAAGATCTCTAGGAGGCTGCCTTTCCTCTTCCCAATCAGCCTGCACTTTCCTTTATTTTCCAATATAGATGCCAGTTCATCACTTCAGCAATCTTCTAGACAATGCCCTACCCCACCCTGTCTAGCCTCTCACCTGTCTGTAACACTCTAGCCCTGGATCAACTCATCTACAGTGTTTGGTTTTCCCAAGCTGGGGAAGGTCATACAGGATGCGTGGTTTCACCATAAATACATGGCCATTAACTTCGAATTGACCCCCAACACTCTGCAGCGTTATACTCTATTTTGTAGGGGAAGGATGGCAGGATATGCCACCCCAAAATACGCCACTTTGGAATAAGAATTATTTTGAGCTAAAGGCACTTGAAAAATAGCAAATGCCAAAAAGAGCAATCTGATCCTTCCTTTTCTTCCTGAAAACAGGAGATAAAATTTCCATGTGAAAGGTGCCCTCCCTATACAGGAGAAAAGGAACACTCTTAGATGGTAAACTGAAGCTGAGCGAATTTTGTAAAGAGAGGCCTTGTTAAAATAATCCTTATCTTCCTTTAGCTTACCTAAATATTTTAGTTACTTTCCCACAATTGCCTCTCCACGTTCAACCTAGTATAAAAGCAGTTGTTTCGGTCGCTTCTTTGTACGCTTCTCCTACTATCTGCCTTATGTCAGTATAATTCTAAGGCCCAGCTGGAAACCCTAAGAGGGCAGGCCACACTTCTCTCCTACAGTCCAGATTTTAATTTTTCCCACACTCCTCTAACCTAAAAGCTCTTTGTTCTAAACAGATGCCCTTGCTTCCTATCATAGAGAAAATAGAAGCCATCAGATTTACCATCTCAATTTACCCAAATAGAAAACACCAAGACCAAAGAATCCTTTTTTCCTTCCTTTCTATACTACAGGAACTCACCCTCCCACAAAAGGATAATTCTTCCTCCCATGGCTTAGATCTCATTCACTCCTAGCACTACAGAGACCTTTCTCCAGTGATTACCCTTTCTCTTGTAAATGCAACTTTCCTTGCTCACATCTCTTCCAGTTACAAAAAACAGCAAATACAAAACACCAACCAAGAATTAAACTCTTGACTCTACCTTCTCCTCCCTATCGTACATTTCCTCTTCAAATCAAAACCTTCCTGTTACTTTCTCTTAAGAGCAAAACTTTTAAAGAGACAAGATTAGTTGTCTCCTTTTCCTCAATCTACATACTCTTCAACCTGATGCAGTCTTTTTTTTTTTTTTTTAATTTATCTATTGTTTATTTTACACCCAAGTTAGCATCTGGTCCAACAATGATTTCAGGAGTAGATTCCTTAATGCCCCTTACCCATTTAGCCCATCCCCCTCCCACAACCCCTCCAGCAACCCTGTTTTTCCTGCATATTTAAGAGTCTCTTATGTTTTGCCCCCTCCCTGTTTTTATATTATTTTTGCTTCCCTTCCCTTTTATTCATCTGTTTTGTATCTTAAATTCCTCATATGAGTGAAGTCATATGATATTTGTCTTTTTCTGACTAATTTCGCTTAGCATAATGCCCTCCAGTTCCATCCACGTAGTTAGCTGCAAATGGCAAGATTTCTTTCTTCTTGTATGCAATCTGACTTTTGTACCCATTACTCCACAGAGGCAGATCTTGCTCAAGTCAGTTCTGACCCTTGAGCTCTCTGCAGCTTCAGATACTACTGGGTAAGTCCTGTCTCCTCCCAGAAACACCAGTGTTCTCTTGGCTTTTGACGTAGTAGGATCCCTCATTTCCCTCCTACCTCTCCTCCAACCTGCCACTAAATGATAGAATTTCTCAGTACCCAGATCTGGGCTCTCTCTTCTTCTCAACTATTACTCTCTCACTAGATAATCTGTTTGTGGGAGAAATTGTGGGGTATCCATGGGGGGAAAGAAAAAAAAAAAGGCTCCAAAGAAATCTAAGTAGGCTGACAGATACAGATTCAGAACCTCTGAAGCTATTTTTCTTCTGCAGTTTACATAAACACATTTTGACCAGCACTTTCTAATGCAATTAACATTCCATATGTATATTTACAAATAATAAAAATAAATGAACAAATTTGGATGTCATTGAAAAGTCAGAAAAAAATCAAAGGTATATGGCTTTTAATTCTAAACAACATTTTCACTATATTTTTCTAGCTTCTCCTTAAAACCAATGCTCTGAGAAAACCAGGCAA